ATAAATATATGCCAGTTGGCAAGTGCCGGTTGATCAGGTGACGAGAGGGGTGCTGCAACAGTGATAAGGATGCAAACTAGTCATAGGTCACTTTTTTCAGTGCCATTGTAACCTCAAGAGGTCACTAAATGAATGATCATAAGCCGAAGATTACCTGTAAGGAAATCTTTCCAAGAATCTATACTATGATAAAGAATTTCGGGAAACGGCACCATTTTTGTCCATCAAGTTAGGGGAAACCTCATGGGCTACAGTTCAGTGCATCTTGTTGTTGTCTATCTTGCACTGTGTAGATCACCCCTGATACGCTTTCAAAAAGCAACTTTAAAAACAACAGCTTCAATTCTTAATCCTGGATTTAAATCCTAATGGCTGCCTAGAGGGAATGCAAAGCTCTCTGCCTCTTCCCCAGCCTGCTTTTAGTGGCATCAGCAGCTTTTCCAACAGCTGAACAGGGCACAGGAAGGGCAATACCTCTCTAGGTTCGCTTTTTCCACCTAGAAAGCCTCCGTGAAACAAATGGTTTAAATACCTTAATTAGTAGAAAGAACATTGTTTTCCAAAGAAAAATACTATTCTGATTTTTAAAGACATTTTATCTATATATACATCATAATCAGTGATGGGATTCAACCGGTGTAACAATCGGTCCGCTTAGCGCGTGTTTTGCACTTGCACGCATAAACGCAGTGCATTTGAAAACAGCTCTAAAACTTACCTTCTACTGCAGCCTATGAGTAAAACAGCTGAGGCCCAGCCGCGCCTATCAGCTGGGTTTTAAACAAATGAAATATAGGACAGACTAGCGCAGGTGTGCATGGGCAGGGCCAACTGATTGCCAGAACTGCTGGTTCACCCGAACCGGTCCAAATTGGCTGAATCCCAACCCTGATCATAATCCATGGGAGCCAGTAAATTCTATCCTCCATTCTCAGTACAAATTATTGGATTAGAAAGGCCCTTTATGAAATTCATCACTCCTCACCCTGACTCTCTTCAATTTTAGACAAACACATGCCCCACTAATAATTTTTTTAGAAATAGTAGCCAATGAGCCATCTTTTTAGACAAAGCAGTTAGGCGCTTCAAACCACTCTGCAATTCATGTATTAAACAACAAATAAACACTCAATTGTACATGGCAACCAATTATGGTCTTTTTTGTATGGTGTGTGCATTTTTAGCCATGTTTGCACACTCATGCAATTAAATTTTAAATTGAATAGTTCCAGGTTTTTTTTAATAGTCACATTTAGAAATGTTATAATTAAAAGCCTTTTACAAAAAAAGGATATATCCCAATAGTATTCTTCTTATCCCATTGTGCTGAAGCTATCAAAGACTCCTAACACGCTGCTAGCAATGGGATGGTTAGCGGCACAACTGTATTCATACATTATTTTAATGTGCATCAAGATTTTTTTTAATACTCAGAATGTTATGATTCCTCAAGGAAAGAAAAAAAGCATATTTGGATACTTTCTATAGAAAATATAGAAAAGTATAGAAAACCCCACAAGTATCCTGAAGTTTTGAATGCCCCTGACAATATTTTTAAAAGTTCTCACTTAATCGGTAAATGTTTTATTTAAAATCATCAGCAGTTTAATTTATGGCACCAAATCTTGACAATGTAACAGTCTCCTAATAAACTATTGAGGCAAGTACAAAAGAGGGTAACGGCATTTTGGAGTTGTTATCAGAAAGACAAGCTCAATTCTTATGGTCCAGCAAGAAAACCATATACAGGTAGTTCTCAACTTACAACAGTTCATTTAGTGACTGTTCAAAGTTACAACGGCACTGAAAAAAAATGACATGACCGTTCGTCACACGTATGACCATAGCAGCATCCCTATGGGCACATGATTTTCGTTTGGATTCTTGACAACTGATTCATATTTATGACGGTTGTAGTGTCCCCATGTGACCATTTTTTGCGACCTTCTGACAAGCAAAGTCAATGGGAACCTCAAATTCACTTAACAACTGTGCTACTAATTTAACAACTGAAGTGATTTGCTTAACAAATGTGACAAGAAAAGTCGTAAAATGGGACAAAAACTCACTTAACAAAATTCTCACTTAGAAACATATATTCTGAGATCAATTGTGGTCAAAAGTTGAGGACTACTTGTAGACTGCATTTCAGAATGAACAATCCCAATAGAAGAAATATTTGTAAATCAGGATTGAACTATGGGGTCCTTGGTGCTCTCTGATCTTAGTCATTTGCTTGCAGACATTTCATGATTCAATTAGGGAATGTCACCAATGCTAGTGGATGTGGGATTCGCTCCCTGTTTATGTACAGTAGCTTGCTTGCCAGTGTTGGTGGGGGCATGGTTTTCTTCTTGAGGGCTCCTTGATTAGGGTATTGTTTTCCGCTTGATTGTTTCTCTAGTGTTAATTCCTGCTTATCTGGCTGCTGGCTGCTGGAGAGGATGTGTTAGGGACTTTTTATTTCCTTCTTAGCTTTTTTTTTTTTTTTGTCTCTTGAATAGTATATAAATGTGGTTTATCTCAATTTGTCTATTGATGGGTGATTTGTCTGAATGCCAATCATCCAATAATTTCCTAGCATTTTTTGGCTTTAGCTTGATCTAGGATGCTCACCGTTTCACATCTGAAACTATAGTTGATCTGTACCTGTGTTGTGAGATTAAGGAGTTTTCATCATGTCTTCTGGCTGTATGAGTTTCCACTGTATATTGTACGTAACTTCTGTTTCTTTTTTCTTCTTAGTTACTGGATCTTTCAGTTTACTTAAGATGTTTCTGTGGGCTTTGGTAGATTTGCATGCTACTGTGGTGCCATGTAGTTATAATATCTTATTAGTAATTTCTGAGATATTTTTGAAGTATGGCACCCAAAGGATGTATGTGTGGATTGAGTGGTGATACGTTTTTTTTAATGAAGTGGTATAGGTACCCATTTTGTAGAAATATGTTTTATATGTGGTCTAATTCCTTTTTCTAGTGTTCCAGGTTACTCTACTGACTAAATAATGCTCTTAAACAGCACCTCTTGCAAATTTGGGTTTTCAAGTTTGGTAATGGGATTCTTTGTTAGGGTGGGTTACATTTTGATAGGCTTGAGTTTCTAATTTGCATTGTTTCCTCTGCAGATGAGGATATCCAGGAAAGATAGTGTTTACTTTTTCCTTGTGAATTGTGTTCCTTTGAAGTTATTGTTGATTGTCTCATGTATCTTCTCTAGTTGTTCCTTTTTTATTATGACAAAGATATCATTTATATACTGGATCCATACTTTTGGTTTTATGCATGAGAGTGCTATAGTTTCTAGACACTATATTATGGTCTCTGCTATGAGTTCTGAGAATAGTAATCCCATGGGTATTCCTCTGATTTTGTGGTATATTTGTCAATCAAACTGAAAGTATATAGTGTGGCAGAGGTTGCTAAGTTCCATGATACTGGATATTTTGATTTTAGTGTTATTTGATTAGGTCAGGTGTGTTGGATATGCTGCCATGGATCTTTTGCTAGTTCTCAATCTTTGGATGTAAAGGGGCTATGACATTGAATGAAACCATAATTTCATCTTCTTCTATTTTTAAGTCTCTGATTTTTCTGGAGGCACTGTAATGGAGAGCTAATAGAATATTTGTTTCCCTCTGTGAGTTATCTAAGCTTTTCTGTATGCTCTATGTTGTATGTTGGGGTTTATAGTTAACGATACAGTTGGATGTAAAGGTATGTCAGGCTTGTATGTTTCTGAATGTCCACAAAAGCACTGGGGGATGGCTACACTGCTTTTCATTTGCCATTATTCTTCTTTTGTGATTTGACCTTTCAAGGTTAGTTATGGGTTCACTTGATGAGGTTGTCTAGTTTCTGTACTGGGTTGGCATTTACTAGAATGTAAGGGTTTTTGTCCTTCAGTAGTCTTTGGCTTTTTGAATATATTATGTTCTGTCCATGACAGCTGTAGTTTGACCTTTGTCTGCTGAGAGCAAGGTGGTGGTTTGTTTCTCCTTTAGATTTTTGAGAGCTGCTTTGAGTTGGTTCTTATTCTATGTTGTTCTGATCTGTGGTATAATTATATTTTGTTGGGTCTCGGCAAGCTCTGTGGTTTTAAATGTTGCTTCTTCTAAGACTTCAATGAATTCTAACTGATTAGCATTGTCTATATTGTATTTCTTTCCTTTTCTATTTTTCGGTCTGTCTTAGAGATGTGGTCTTGATGGTAGTCAGCATTTTTGTGTGTTCTGAGGCCATGGTTTGCTCCAGTTGTTTCTTAAAATTATCTATGAGGTGCTGGTATTTGTTTAGTCTGAGAATGGAGGTGAGAATGGAAAATCCTAATCTAAGTTCAGAAACAGATATTGCTTGCACAGATCTGCCTGTTTATATTTCTGCTGTATTTAATAATTAGTCTTATTTGTCAGAAGCCTGAGAAAGAAAATCGGACTTCCTCTAATTAAACAAATTACAAAATGGCAAAGTATACTCTTAGAATCCAACTAACTAGGATTATTTCAGTAAACCATGGTTAAAAAAACATGACCTAATACAATATGTGTCCCAGACCATATCTTTACTAGGGATGGTTGATCATTACTCATGAGGAAAGGGCCTTGGACCTTCCTCCTCCTTCTCCAAGTTCATACTCAGGACAAAAGCACATGGCCTTCACTAAGATCTTTTTTTATATTTATATTTAGCAATTATGTAAAACTATTGTCAAGTTTATAATCTAAATGTGAACATTCCTATATATAAACCTAGTCCCATTCCTGTGTAATATTACTATCATATAGCAATATACATTTCTACACATCAAATGGCTACCCTTTAAAGAGCAAGAAGCTTTGCAGAGACAGTAAAGGTGGTTCCTCAACAGCAGTTTGTAGAAAAGGCAAACATGCGACAATAATAAGACTACAACAGTGACACAGTGAAGTAAGCATCTCTGAGGAGGACCCAGTAGACCTTCCCAAAGACAGGTGAATACAGTAGAGAAGATCAGCGGCTTACCTGGATCTTCACAGCAATGAGCACAGAGCTAAGCTCCTTGTCTAGTTCCCGCAGCACCGTCAGCTTTTTCAGGCGAAGGCTGCACAGCCTGTAAGACAGAGAGAATGGGATACATTCAGGCACCACCATCCCAGGGCCCCTGCCGCATGATACAAGAGGCTCCGGAGGTCGCCTGGGATATTGCTGACCACGGCGGGGCCTGAGTTGCTCCTCTAGCTCAGGAACTCCTGAATTCATGCAGCAGAGAGAAAGCGGATCAGAAAAAGAGGAAAGGAGGAAAATTAATAGAGCTAAAGCAGGATTAAGAAGATTATGCTATGACAGGAAGTTGCAAAGCACACAGAGGAGAAATCCCTTTCCGAAAGGAAACCAGTGCCAGCTCTGTACAGAGACACTTCAATGATTAGGGGAATTTCCTTATAATTATTGCAGTATGGTAGCCTTAATGTAACCCAAAGAATTTTTTTTCCTTGTTTGTTTTCTATTTGGATAGTAAACAACGGACAAATAATACTTAAAGTATAAGTTGCGCAACAGCAGATACAGTAAGATTGAGTTAAATCTCTGTACATCAAATCATCCTATTCAGTGAATCCTATTACTTCCCATTTGGTCCCCTCAGCCTTGTTTCTGAATTACCTTACTAGCACTGAGTACAGCCTGGTGTTTAAACAACCGTTACTCATTCAACCAGGAGTTCTAAGGAGAGGAATGGGGAGGGAGACACACAAACCCCGCTTTCTCAGTCTGTCTGTTTTATGGGACATTAACAGGGATTGGAAGACGACTTTTTACTATGAATATTCAGTGTTCTAAAAAGCTAGAATCTTGCATTTCACATGCCATGAAGATGAGCACTTCCCCTCCTTTACAATTAGCAGGAAAACACATCCAATTCTCTAAGCAGTCTAGTAAAAAAAAAATCTGATAACTACCTTTTGTAGTTTATATTAACAAAACAGTTCTTTGTGGCCCAGTTTCCTCCTGATCCACCCACATTACATGAAGTCAGGAATGAGACATTACAGAGATTGTCAATATTTGTCTGAGGTTCCAACCCTCATCAATCATCCATCCTAGGCCCCTCAATTATGGGGTGCTGAAGGGGTTGGTCTTGTCCCCACTCCTATTTAACATCTACATGAAGCCACTGGGCGAGATCATCCACCGGCACGGGATTAAATACCACCAGTATACGGACAATACTCAGTTGTATCTGTCCGCCCCGTGCCAACTCAGTGAAGCGGTGGAAGT